GGTAGTCCGTCGGTAGTCCGTCGGTAGTCCGTCGGTAGTCCGTCGGTAGTCCGTCGGTAGTCCGTCGGACGTGCAACGGGTGGCGGGCGCCGCTCATTCGTCCGTCCAACTCCGGCGCGAGCGCAGCCGAGTGGTCGCAACAGAACAGCGCTTCGCCGCGCGCGCTTCCCCTCGCAAATTCATTTGCCGCGCGTCTTCTGCAGATTTTGACAGCTCGAAAGACAAATGAATAACGACGCAAACCAACCGTTACGTGCCGTGGCAGAGCGCTCCACAAAGGCACTCCCGGTGATGCCCTGTGATCTACGAGGCACTACAAATTGTATGTTTCATGTGTATTAATTCAGAGATGACATTTTAAACTTCGTGTACGTTCACTGAGTAACTCTGTGTGACGTGGCCAGGGGAGGCTCTTATTTTACTGTTCCTGTATGTAGTTCGTATTATGACGGTACAATTTAACAATCACCAGTTGACATTTCATTTGCAGAATGAACATGCCATTCAATCAAGACTATTTATGTGGTGAAAGCTTTCAAAACGGGATATGTAATTTACGTTATTTCGAATAGTATGTTGAAAGTTATTCTCTTTTGGAATTGGGACAGTATTATTTGTATTTTATTTACATCCGTGAATATAGAGATCTGAAAGAAATTGGAGAATTAATAAAAATATTAAAATTATCTCGTGCATTTTTGATTACTCATTAGTAACCGGTTCCCTTGAGGGGACTTTATTTTTGTATGAATTATGAAGGACGAGTTTGAACATACCTAGAGAGCATTGATCGTCCTTTCCATTGTCATTGTGCAACCACTGAACCAGTCAAGACGATCTGGTATCTATCCGAGAGTTCGTTCTACATTTGCACACACCACAACCACAGACCACGCACTCATCCATCACAACGTTCACTCAACTGTCCGCAAATCCATATAAACTCCGCACACTCATCGCTCACTCTCAACGAGATACGGCATCCGGCATTCCCGGTCACCAACGCTGGGGAGCTTTGCAGACCGCACCAGCGACGATTTTCTAGCAGGAATTCGACGGAAATGCAGAGCACCCCATTACAACAACTTATGGCACGTGATAATTACGTTAGTACAGGATTCCTACTTCCGTGTACCCTCAACGTGACTATTTTGTTGCAGTTTTATCGTAGGGTGACGCAAGACCGTGGCATTCATTGCGTGCCTCTGTGAAATTATGAGGAATTTTGTTCGTTATATAATGAGTTTTCATTTTGTGTTTTGTGTCGCGGGTGTCAAAAATGTAAGAGATTTGCACAAACACAAACGCATTAATGTTGATACTTTAACAGTACACATATGTAGTACGAAATGTTTTCAAATTTATAATTATAATTATATTAATAATAAATAATATTAATAATAAAAATAATAATAATAATAATAATAATAATAATAATAATAATGATTATTATTAGACGTATTCGTATTAACGTTTCTGCTTTGAAGAATAATTGGTAATTCCGTTTAAGTGTTTTTGATGTACAGTTCAAAGTTTTCGTTCGACTTCATAGTTCTCTAAAAATAAAAAGAAATTAACTTCGTATTTTTCAATGTCTTATAGCAAATGAAAAAAATAGAGAAAAATATTGTCAAATTCTAAACTTCCTGGTAATGATTTCGATTTATTTAAGTTAATCTGACGGTTAGTCAATGTGAAAGCAGTTTCTCCTCGCCTGTCCATTTATTTTCCAACCAGGAACAACGCACTCATCCAAACTACGCGACGTACTTACTGAAGAGTGAATCATTGAAGAGCAGCGAGCGATAAACGGCGTTGCGGAGATACAAAACCGCTCAGCGAAGTAATTAAGCGAAGCGACGAAATTGGCCTTTGACGGCGAGCGTTCAACGCGTTAATTCGCGTGTCCTCTTCCGCGCCGCGCAGAGTCGCTTTAGTTCTTCCGGAGACGAGCGCGGAGCGAGCGCACGCAGCGATTCCGCTCGGCCAATCGCGTTTATGAAGCTGCGGCCGCGACATCCCGGGCGGCCATTCGCCCAAATTTGACAATCGACCTCTGCCACCCCGCGGCGCGTTCCGCAGGCGACCCCGCCGAGCGGTCGACGGGTAGAGCAGATGAGGGTGGGGCAGGCGCCGACAGGGCGGGGACGGGTAGGGCGTGGCGGCGAAGAGCGGGGACGGGCGGGGTGAGGCAAGGCGAGACGAGAAGGGTTGGGGT